CCCCTGTTCGCTTTTTGCAGACAGACATGTGGAGAATTTTGTGTTTCATAAGTTGTTCATATGCACGAAGACGTACCATTTTGAGTGCCAGTAGATTGGCATTTATTCAGCGGCTCGGTTGCAGGTGAACGCAAGAATATTAAGCATTGAAAAAACGATGACAGGTGGTTCACAATTATGACATGTCAGCACTCTGTCGTTGGTCTGTGCCAGTAATTCTCCGGCGATCAAACTTTTGTAAAATATTAAACGCATTAAAAGTAGCACAGATTTTACAAGTGATTCAATCAACATCACCAACCAGGGAACAGGGTAAAAAATTAAATATTTTCCATTAAATTTAGACATTTTAAGATTACCTTCGTTCCAATACTACCTGGTGCATGCATTTCACATGTTTAGCAAAGCAGCTCAGCATGAAGGAAATCAAATGAAGGGTTAGAACTAAGACCACCTGCATGATAAGCGAGGCAAATGAGAAAAATCGAGTAAGAGGAAAAACAGAAGAGCAGATAGGGACTGTTGAAAAGTTCAGAAATCTTAGAATTACTATCCTACAAACAGACCTAGAGAAGTCCAACGGTAGTTGGCACCGAGAGGAAGTTCCTTTACAAGTGGGGTGCCATCTCAATTGAATCTCCAATGTGAATCGAAGACCAAAGAATCCATGAGTGAATCCTAAAACGACTTAACAGGCAGCAAACGGAAATGAAAAGTTTTAATATCATTAATGTTTAAGCGGTAACTGAAACATTATTCATAAGGAGTGCAAGATGGCTCTAGACATTGCAAATGCACAAATGCAATGGAACCGTAGTCTGCTTAATACAACACTCCTCCCCTTCTAGACAATTATGACAGGAGAAGTGTAATACGCCGTGAAATCTACTTTTGAAGGAGTTCTGCGACATTATGATAACATTTTGATAATGAAGATCGTACATAATCCTTTCTCCGCATCCCCATCGCAAATACGGCTCGTGTGATAGGTAAGGCACAGCGGTGCGTATGCATGTAACCTTCTATAGTAGCCTTGAAAGCCTGCATAAACTCAAAAACTGTTGGCTAATTTTACGCTGCTAACAACTGCAAACAGAAACATTCGTGACTGTTAAAAAAGTTCCGTTTCGAAAGAAGGATGCTAAGTACTGGACCAAAGGATCAAATATTTAATCCCCTCTCAAAGAGAGCATGGACGAATATTTTCATCATGCCATCTACCCCCCCTGTCCTCAGAAACGAAAAAAATTCCATGAAAAAGACACGAAAATCCCAACGACGCGTTATGATTCTACCAGAAAATCTCCCTGGGAATAAATCTGCTCTTTAACTTTTCTCCAACCAATAAAAATACGAACTCATGTACCAGAGTGTATCAACAAGTGCTTTAGTCGAATTTCATTGCGTGTTTCCCCATGCTACTTGGTTGCATGTGTTAGCAATTCAGTAAAACTGCGGCTCCATAGCATTTTAACACTTGACAAGCTAGATTCATTCGTCCATGATATATTCGCCAAAGCATTATTCATCACTGCGTGAATGCCACCTCCTCCTCAAAGGAAGTATAAACAATGGGGAGGGTGCGGGATGCAGTAAAATTTTATTTTTGAGGAGTTAAAATGAGGCAGGCAGGCACCTGTTACATCACATGACGCAATCGTGTTTTCACCCTTCTGACCAGAGGAAACATTTGTTATTTATCGCGTGATGAGGAACAGTGAGCATGTGATGATAACAGTTCTGAGATCCTGTCAGGCTATGACTCCAGAGGGACGAACATAATCGAAAATATTTCACATTATGAGGAGTGAACAACGAGGCAAGCAAAAGTGCCGCGCGTCTGTTTTCCAAAGGTCGAACGACGTCGCACTGCATTGCTGCCGAGATACCATCAATTGATCACATGCACAGAAAATTACAGAGACGCACAAAGAGGACCACGCAATTTTTTCGTTGCAACGCCGGCAGTGAACGTCAGCGCACCTTTGATGAAAATACAGGTCAGTCCTATAGGAAAAGAATCGTCAGAGTTGCAAGGCTGTACGGTAAGCCATCGACTGTACTTGCAGATCCGCATTGGCAGAACGACATGTTCTTGCAGTAGGAAAGAAAGGTAGGAACCAATAGCAGGATAGATTGCAGGATTAAAGCAATAAATCCAAAAAAGCAGAAAACAGGCAAAACTAGAGCAACAAGTACCGTACTATGCAGTGGGAGACATCGTTTTTCAAAAATGACAACTGAAACATGAAGCTGAAACGAAAGAAGAGATGAAGTCATTCCCATGAATAGGGTAGAGAAAGAGGAAGCACCAAAAATGGGTCAAGACAGGTGAACAGCAACAGATCATTGATGGAACCTGTACGCCTCGCAGCGTTGACATTCTTACTGTTCGTGAAAAGATTTATGAAATGGGCATTTATTAAAAGTTGTATTTATTTCATGTTAACCAAAGTTAAAGAGAAGGCAAGTTCGACAAAATTTAGACAGGGCAAAGACGAAGACGATGATAAACGAATTCGCACCGCTGGCGGTAAGATAGAGGTCGCCGAGTATGTCTCCTCGGGACAGATAATCTGTCTCTTTAATCCAGAGCTCTCCAGAAGCCGTCATGTGACATGGAGTACATACAGTAGGAACAGGCTGGAATTTCTGAAAACAGAAAGTTGCAAATTGCGATTAGAATCATTGCGTACGAACGCACGGCATTATCATCAGTTCCGCATGGTTGCGAGACTTTCGCATAAACGAAAACGAAAACGATGAAGGATTACTAATAGTGGAAACGGATGCCTGCGCAGCAGGCGTTGGACGAAAGGATGAAAATGAATTTCCATCTGTTACAAGTTGAGATATGAAATAATAAGAATGCTTACGGGAAGCAGGAGAATGTGTCAATTTCAAGAGAAAGAAAAGGACATTGAGCAGCGCATATGGCTCGATTGACGGATGACCGAACCACGTCAGCAGTGGGGGTTTGAATGCGCCCAATCGGAAAACCTTGGTCCAGATCAGAGGAGGAACTGAAAGAAAGACTCGGTGAAGGAACATCAAGATCAGACACTGACGATCCCCGTTAATTACGAAAAAGAATCAGTCAAAAATAATTATTTTAAAACAAACAATTTTCACATTTCTGAGGACCAAAATCTTCATTGTGTTCAGTATTCAATTTTTTCGAACGAATGTATTCAGTGCTCCATAAGCCCACTGCAATGTGCCGGTCCATTACAAATAAATAAATATGTTTCCCAGTGCTGCTTTTTATTCATTGGCTATGCTAGTATAATAGAAATAAACTTATTGTATATGTAAGGTCTATGGTAGACCTTGGTAGAGTACCAGGGCACACAAAGAATAGGATATTGGTACTCAGCGTAGCAAGGATATGGAATAGGAGTGATGTTTAGATGTGCATTTGGTAAAAGGGAAGAATTTCCTATTCTTGCAGTGGTCGACCAAGGATCAAAACAGAATCTATATCTGTTCTTGTTGGCGACAGACGCACTGTGAGGACAAAGCAGTGAAGGAACTGATGTGGAAACGGAAGCATGGAGTACTGGTCTAGAAAATGAAGCAGTTCATAATTAATCAAAACAAATTTAATCACAACAACCGTACATGACACGATGTTTCAGCGGAGAGTTCATTGAAGTCAAACGAGTTGGTGAAGACAGAAAACTATCCACTACTTAATTCCCTAGCACTCAAGCACATAATGGTTCCATTGTACAA